ATATATAAAATGAATGAGCTCGGCCTAAATGATTAAATCAAAACTTATTATTTATTATCTAATAATTCTTATTATTATTATTTGACGACGATAATAATAAAACAATAATAATAATAACAATAATAATTACAATAACAATATTATTATTATTATCAAATGTAAACTATGAATGAATCAAAACTCACAGCTCATCTGGAAAGACTGTGCACATAGTATCTCATTGCGCGGAACTGTCAACGAAAATCTGAGGCAGATATTAAATGAACCAAAACAATACAGCCTGACTTTAGTTAAGTGTTATTTACAATAGCAACCCAACATTTTCCTCAGAACATTCACAAGCTTACTTTAATAAGAGATTAAAGCCGGTAACAAACAAAAACAAAATATAACTGTGGTGCGGTGATGAGAGAGCCCCATGTCGAGTGATTGACAGGAGGCGTGGTTATGTTGGACCACTGTGTGTGACGTAAGCTCGCTTTAGGAGAGGAGAGAAAGTCCTTACAGGCGTGAGGCTGTCTCTGTTAAAAACTCTTAAATAAATAAAACAAAAATAGAGAAAAGCAAGCAGATATTGTTTTATCTGTCCTGCAGGAAAACAATATTGAACCGATTTAAATATTTATGAATAATGTGTTGAAATCTACATTTTGGCGCCTGGTGATGATCTTTCCCTCATTTGCATATGTCCTTAATCCTGTTTTTGTATGTCACTATGCTGACACATCGGCATTTGTAGCTCCGCCCTCTTTTTAAAAAGACCACAATCTCATTTGAATTTAAAGCGACAGTCACAAAAATGGCACATTTTGGGTTAAAACTCAAAAGGGGCAGTTTCAAAGACATATAAAACTTTGGTATTTTGATCTAAAACTTCACATACACATGCACTCTAGGGACTTCAGAGACTTATTTTGACAACTTGTTAAAAGGGGGATAATAGGGCCCCTTTTAATGCTGTTTTAAGCCGTTCAGTTTGAAATGCTATTATTTAATGATTTGTCATGGGTGTGTTTGTGTGTTATTTTCAGGAGTTGTCAGAGCATGACGAGTCTCTTCAGTAATACAGTGTCTCCAGTGAAGGAGGGCACATCGTCTCTGCCCCGTCGCACCAGTGCCCTCAGCAAACCTCCGCTACGAGCCCTTTATGACCTGCTTATCGCCCCAATGGAGGGGGTAAGAGACCCGGCACACTTCACCAAACTTCAATAAGGAATTGCATAACACACTCTAAAGAGGACATTTGCTGTTTGTTCAAACTATTTACTTAAAATAAGCTGAATCCACACAATTCTTAATTGTTAACTTAATTGATTTATGTTCAATCCACTTAGATTGGCTTCAATTAAGTTTACTTAGGCGATTTAAGTTGGGACAACATGAAGAAATTGTGTGGAACCCAGCATTTTTTACAGTGTAGCATAATAAGTTGCCGGCTAATTAATTCAGTTTATTAAAGGTATAGTTCCCCCTAAAATCTTTCACCATTTACTCAATTATAACTTTAATTGTTCTGAACCAATAATAATTTTTTTCCTGTTATTTGGAAACCTGTAACCACTGATATGCCTAGTAGGAAAAACAAATACTATGGAAGTCAATGGTACATTTTTCTGTATGTTTTAATTTGTGTTTAAACTTCTTTGGTACCAAAAATGTGTATGAGTAAATGATGACATATTTTTAATATTTAAACTGTCACTTAAAGGCTTCAAAGAACTTAAAGTGCATTTTATTTTATTTTATTTTTAATTTATTTTACTCTGTTGTATTTTATTTAATTTTATTAATCCAATTGGATTTTACAGATATTATTTATTGCAGTTTTGAATATGTGCTTTGCATGAAAAAAAACTCTTTTATTTTATTTTTATTATATTTTGGTTGGTTATTTTTATTTTATTGTTTTGTGTTTTATTTTTTATATTATTGTATTTTGTTTTATTTTGTCGGATTTTAAATTTGTTAGAAATAAATGGATTTTACAGATACCGTTTAATTATTTAACATAGCTAATATATGTGTTTTGCAAGAAAAAGAAAATACTGTTTTCCTTTTGTTTTCTTGTTATTATATTGTATTTTGGTTTGTTATTTTATTATTATTTAATTTTTTATCATTGTATTTTGTTTTATTTTATTAATCCGAATGGATTGTACTTTTATGAATTATTTATTAGTTTTATTTAATTATTTGTTTAATTATTAAATATAGTTTTGAATATGTGCTTTGCACTAAAAGTTACTGTTTTATTTGTATAATATTGTATTCTATTTTAATCTATTTTAAGTTAAATAATCCAAATAAATGTCACTGATATTGTTTAATTATTTAATATAGTTTTGAATATGTGCTTTGCACTAAATACTACTATTTTATTTTTATTGTATTGTATTCTATTTTAATTATATTTTTTATTATAAATAATTTTATTTAAAAATAATAATAAATATTTATGTAATTATATAGTATTTTATTTTGTTTTATTTTATTTATCTAAATGGATTTTACTCATAGTGTTTAATTATTTAATATAGTTTTAAATATTTATGTAATTATATAGTATTTTATTTTGTATGTTTTGTTATTTTTATTTTATTAATCTAAATGGATTTGACAGATATTGTTGAAATATTTAATGTACTTTTAAATATGTGTTTTGCATGAAAAATGACTATGTTTTTCTTTGTAGGGTCTAATGCATTCCAGTGGTCCGGTGGGTCGACACAGGCAGCTGGTTCTGGTTCTGGAGGGCGAGTTGTATCTAATCCCATTTGCTCTGCTGAAGGGAAGCTCATCTAATGAGTATCTGTATGAGCGCTTCAGTCTCATCGCCGTACCGTCTATCGGCAGTCTGGGGACCACAGCTAAAGTAAGCACTGTCATATAGGACAGGAGGTATTTTAGTAGCATTTACATAACTGATTTATAGTCTTTCAACTAATAGACTTTTTTATTTTATTTTATTTTATACCAAAATAGAAAATGGCTCATGGCTATTTAATATAGATTTATATTAAGAAATATGCAATACAGTTGTTTTTGAATACATTTTGTATTTTTTTTTTCATTTATTTATTTTTTTAACTTAGATTTTAGTTTAGTTTAAATTAGATTTTTATATTAACTAAAAATGTATTCATTTAGATTTTATATATATATATATATATATATATATATATATATATATATATATAGATATAGATATAGATATATATATATGTGTGTGTGTGTGTGTGTGTGTGTGTGTGTGTGTGTGTGTGTGTGTGTGTGTGTGTGTGTGTGTGTGTGTGTGTGTGTGTGTACAGAAACTGAAATAGAACATTCATTTAGGTATTTCCATATGGCTATTTATTATAAAATTTATATTAAGATATACACAATACATTTTTATATGAATACTTTATATGAATTTTTTTTTACTTACATTTTATCTAAAAATGTTTTTACATCAAAAAGTAAAGGAGGTATTTTAATATTATTTATATAGTTGATTTATATTTTTTCATCTAAATTTTTTATTTATTTAACTTAATTTTACAGAAACCAAAATAAAACATTTATTTAGGCATTTCAAAGTAGCTATTTAAAAGAGATTAATATTAAGAAATATACAATCCATTTTTGTATCAATAAATTTGTCCATTTATTTATTTTTTAAACTTATATCAATGTTTTAACATTTAGATTTTAGTTTTTTTTTCATGTAATATTTATTTTTAATTTATTTTTATTTAATTAGATTTTGATATTAACTGAAAAAAATGTATTCATATGTTTTTATTGGATTTTTTAGTTTCTGTTTTAACTAGATAAAATGTATTCATTTTTAAAAAAAGGTTTGTTTGTTATTTTTTTACGTGTTTCTGTTTGGCTATTTAATATAGATTTATATTAAGAAATATACAATACATTTTTATGATCAAATTTAGTATTTTTTTCCATTTTTTTTTTTACTTAATTTTAAAATGTTGTCATTTAGATTTTAGCTTAATTTCTCATGCAATATTAATTTTAAATGTAGTTTAAATTAGATTTTTTTTATTAACTAACAAAAATGTATTCATTTAGTTTTATTAGATTTTTTTTTATAATTTTGTATTTTCATTTTATTATATATACAGTATATGTGTATATATATATATATATATATATATAAATATATATGTGTGTATATATATATATATATATAAATATATATATATATATATATATATATATATATATATATATATATATATATATATATATATATATATATATATATATATATATATATATATATATATATATATATATATATATATATATATATATATATATATATAT